CGCTCTTCCACTCCAAGAGGGGGAGGAGAGAAGAGCCCTAATAACACATCCTTGCTGGCAAGAGAGGGTCAGGTCTCAGGGGCTGGAGAAAATTACCCCATTCTGTGCTGAACTGATGGCATCGGAAAACCTGCCTACAGGCAGCTGTGACTTAACCCCCCAGCCAGCTCTGCTTCCTACTCACGGAGGGACCCCCCAGGTGAGTGTTGCGAAGACAAGCTCAGCATCTGGGCTCCAATGAGTCTGCAGTTGGCCTGGCCTTTGGCAGATACTTATCCAGGGCTGTGCAGGACCAGACGCTCAGAGGGGCCCAGCGCAGTAGTTGGGCTCTTTGTGAAGGTGGGATATGGAGGTTCGAGGCTGTTCCGGTGCCTCGTGCCCCACGCTGGGGGAGCTGAGACCGTGCCCAAGCAGAGCAGGCAGCCCTGGTGGGGGAAAGGTCCTGTCCTGATCAGCAGTAATCCAGCCAGTCGGATCAACAGGAGGGTAAAGGACTTGGCAAAAGGATGGGGCTGCAATGCAGAGCATCAAGGAGGGTAAGGTAGGGAGATGTCAAGGCAGATAAGGAGATTCCCTGGAGCTTTGACAAGTCCTTGGAGATCTCTCTGTGGACAGAGGTGGGTCTATAAACCCTCTGCTACTGGAGAGAGCAATTTGCACAGGCCCATTAGAAACAGGCCTTTGCTGTGTGGGGCTTGATGTCTCACCTGTTTCTAACAGGCCTGTGCAAATCCCTCCTTATCTGCCTTGCCCTCTCCCCACCCTTGGCCTATGTTTCCAGGCTAGTCTGCTGATTAGGCAGCAGATGGCAAATTCATGAGTGATGAGCAGCCAGGCGGGAGGGTGGTTTCTGTCCACACACAGAACTGTCACACTCGGAATATCTGAGCTGGGAAGGGACCCTCGCCCTGGGAACAGAGCTCAGGAATGTGTCACCCCTTTGGCTCCGCAGGGCCGTGAACCACTGGCCCTCCTGCGACAGCATCTTCGACGTCCCGGAGCTTCTGAGCGTGGACCCCCTGGAGCACCAGAGTCGGATCCTCAAGAGGAAGAAGGCCCTACTGAAGCTGGGAATTGAGTCGGCATCCAGCTCTGATGACGACCCCCTGTCCCTCTCCTTAGGGGACTCGGAGGATAGCAGGAGAGCCAGCTGTGGCCACCGCCTCACCCGCTCCGGTACCCCAGACAAGTCTCCTTCCTTCTTTCTCTCCTCGCCTCCCCTCCCTCCTCCCAGCCCCTTCTTCCTTCCTCATTCTCCAGCCCAGGATTGGCAGGGTGGGGGTACGGCGTCAGTGCCGTAAATCTATCCGCTACGCCCAGGAGAGAAGGGCCCTGCCTCCTCCTGAAGTCAGGGGACGTGCCAGTGAGCTCGGTGAGATGCGAACTGAGCCCAACCCGCTCCTGCCTTTCCTCCCCCACGCCAGCCTCTGGGGCTGCCTCACTGAGCACCATCCTCTCCCTCTCCACTCAACAGAGGAAGATTTGCTCAACTCCATCGTAGCTGAGACACAGCTGAACAGCTCCTCGGGCTGTGTCACGTCCGACAGCGGCAGGTTCTCGCCCCGAGCCCAGGCAGATCTCGTTTCCGATATGTAAGTATTCCCGAGCACACCCAAAAACCTGAGGGGGAACCGGGTAGGGGCGTTAAATTTAGATTAATGGGGTAATCGAGTAGTCGATGCAATTTGCATTGACTGTCTGATTAATCGATAAGGGCGCCTCCGCCTTTGAAGTGTAGGAAGAGCCCTGGGGTACGCGTCAAAGGTGAAAGCGTTGCAGGAGCATGGAGCCAGAGGGGGCTCAAGCTGGCCCCTGCTGGCCCCATGCTCCCTGTGGTGTTTCAAAGCGACAGCTCCGCATGGAGCCCGAGGTCTGGCCCCCGGGCTCCACCCAGTGCTGCTGCTTTGAACCGCCCCCTTCTCCCCCCCCCCCACCTCTTTCTGACAGAGGCACAAAGGGGGGAAAAGCAACTAGTCGACCCGACTATCTGATAAGCATTTGCTTATCGGATAGTCGACTAGTTGTTCACATCCCTTGAACCAGGCCAGAGAGCTTCATAGATGCTGAGGCCACTAGGGACCATTGTGATCATCTTGTCTAACCTTCTCTGAGACTCTCCCACCGCTGCACTGCTGGGAACGGGGCCCCAGTAGACCCTCACCCCGAAGGGTGATGCTTTTTGTGACCAATTAGAATTCAGAGCCCAGAATTCTTGCTCTGTTTTCATTTAGTTTGGGGTCTCCAATGTCCCGCCCATCTCCAAGGGCTCTCACCCAACCCAGCTCCTCTTCCCAGTTCCAGTGGTTGACAATCGCTAACCACCACCTCTCTCCCCCATTGCAGTATAGAAAGTCCCTGCAGCGGCTGGGCTGCTGGCAGCCCAGAGCAGGGGAGGAGCGGCTGGGGCTTCCTGCGCAAATCCTTCTCCTACATCTCCGCCATGACGAGCACCGGCAGCATGCTGCCCCCAGATCCAGAGCCTCTGCCTGCCTCCGCATCCTCCTTCTCCACCCGGATCGGTGGGTGAAGCACCTGGGAAGGGGGAGCTGTCCTTTAGTGAACTGGAGTACTGGGCTGAGGGGGGAAGAGACGTGTCGCCTGTGCGAATGTAGCATCAGAGTAGCCTTAAAGCTGGGTCCCTCTATGGGCTGCTCCCAGCTGAGGGAGCACCTCTTCCTCCAGTTCTTATCTGACTGCTCCAGGCAGGGATTGCACCCTGCTCCCCCACGGCGCCAGCTGGGGAGTGAACCCGGCATCCCTGTTTCCTGCCCTTCAGCGCCAGCTGGGGAGAGAAGCCCAATCTCTCTGCTACGGCCCACCTGCCTCCCACTGAGCTGCCACGTGCTGGGGGAGATTGCTCCAAACACAGATCGAACGGGCTGCATCTCCAGCCAGAGGCAGCAGCTGGAAGAAAAGGGGGCTGTGGACCCCAGCGCAGAGGAAGGGAAGCCAAGAGAAAGCACCTGGACTGGTGTCTGTGGCCCTAGAAGGGCCAGCCCCTGTGCAAGTGGAGGCAGTAGGGCTGCCCCAGGGCTGTGGGCTGGGGAGGGGGATGTTGAATCTGTTGGGGTATGTCTACACTACCACCCTAGTTCGAACTAGGGTGGTAATGTAGGCAACCGGCGTTGCAAATGAAGCCCGGGAAATTCAAATCCCGGGCTTCATTTGCATCTTGCCGGGCGCTGCCATTTTTAAATGTCCGCTAGTTACGAGGACTAACGGTAGTTCGGATTACGAAGCCTAGTCCGAACTACCTAGTCCGTGCCGTGTGTAGCCGCACGGCATGGAGTCCACACTAGAGGACATTTAAAAATGGCAGCGCCCGGCAAGATGCAAATGAAGCCCGGGAAATTCAAATCCCGGGCTTCATTTGCAACGCCGGTTGCCTACATTACCCCGCTAGTTCGAACTAGGGTGGTAGTGTAGACATACCCTTGGAGCTAAGTGATGTTATGGGTTTAAATAGAACAACTCCAACGGCCGGTTGCTCTTCCTGCAGGGGTGTCCCGCAGACCCTTGGAGTGGCTCTTCCCTGGCTGGGTGTTGCCCGTGACCTATGCCTTCATCTTCCTGCTCCTAGCAGGCTGCTTCACCATCACCATCCTCTATGGCGCCTCCCTGCATGACCACACTGCCCTAATGTGGCTCATCTCCTCCCTCTTCTCCTTCATCACCTCCTTTGTGCTGCTGGAGCCGCTGAAGGTAACAGCCTGTACTGGTGGCATTCTCCTCTCGGCACTGCAGCTAGCTCGACAGCGCTGCCCATCGATAGCCCCTGAGCACCACGATGCCTTTCACAGTGCCCTTAGCGTGGGCTGACGCTACTTCATTTTCAGGCGGGGAAACTGAGGCACGGAGCAGGAGCGTGACCTGACCAAGGCCACACAAATGAGTGAATGGCCAGTGGGGATGGAATGCTGGAGTCCTCTGTAAAGAGCCTCCTCACACTTGTCCATTGGCTTTGCTTGAATCCCTCCTGGCAACAGACTCACATGTGTTATGTGGGGCAAGCCACTGGCCCGCTTGGTGCCTCAGTTTCCCAATCTGTCAGGTGGGAGCAGTGTTGTCCTGGTTTTCCCAGGCGGCTGGATGTGAGCTACTGCCTACCTGCTGGAATCAAGCTGGGGGCATTCGGTGGGGTTTGGAGCCTTTGTCTTCCCCATTGAGGGTATATTCAGCTCCCCTTCCCCTTTGCTCTGGGCATTCCCATCGGGCTTTGCTCTGCAGGCTGGGGTGACCTGCTCCTCCTTACGGCTCTGGAAGGGTAACGGCCCCTTTCCCGGCAGAGCTGGGACTCACAGACTCTTCCCTGTCCTGTTGCGGCAGGTGCTGCTGGAGGCCCTGCGTGCTGCTCTCCTCACCAAGCCAGTGGACAGTGAAGAAGAGGGGCTGGTGGAGGAGCCGCTGGTAAAGCCAGTACCTGAGCGCATTGGGAAGGTGCGAGTGCCCTATGGGTACGGGCTTCTCCAAGCCAAGGAGGAGGCGAGGAAAGTGCGGGCGCTGCGAGCGCTGATGAGGGTAACGACTTTCCCTGGGACTTGCCCACCTCGCTCGGCTGCTGCTAAGAAGCCCTTGGGGGAAGCCCAGTGCCCGCAGGGTGGCTGGGACGTTGAGGGAGGATACAGGGCGTTTGTGGAGTGCCGCCCTGGGCTCTAAGGAACTGCCCACAGGGCGTTTAACCTAGGCCCTCCTTTTCTGCCGTCGTCCTCCTCCACCTCTGCTTCCAGCTGCAGCCCTCAGGTCCCCGCTGGGCAGTGCACCCAGCCGCTGATAACTGCTCCCAGTCACCGTGCCGATCGCACGCGCCAGGCCAGGGCTTAGAGACAGGAGAGCAGTAACTTGCAGGAAGAGAGGGAGGCCAGCTTGGCTTTGTGTACACGGCCCAGGTCCGGCACCAAGCAGCCCGGGCTGTGTTTTGTACCAGGCACCAAAGGGGTGGGGTGCGTGTGAGCTGTAGAATCACAACTGTGAGGGCTCACGCTGGCCGCTAGATGTCAGTGTGAGTTCGAATTTGCCTGGTTTAGCTGCATCTGAAGAGAGCTGGGTCCCGTTCAAAGTCCTGGCGGTTTCTCCACAGCTCATGATGCTGCAGGGCTCTAGGCCTGGTGGCCGGGCAGTGAAAGGCTGTTCCAAGCTTGTCCATAATGGGGCTTGTAGCATCTTCCCCTGGTGCATCAGGCTGTGGCCCCTCTTGGAGACAAGAGATGAGCTCGACTGACCCTGGACTTGCTCTCATATGGCAGCTCCCGTCCTGCCGTGCCTTTCTCAGCCCACAGTCCAGCTTTCCTGGCTGCGCATCATTTGTCCCGTTTTTCTCCCTCTCCCCAGAAGTGTCTCACCCACATGCTCTTCCTCCTGGTGGTTCTGATGGTCAACTACCAGAGCTGCTTCCACAACCCCAATATCCATCTCCTGCATGCTGCTGTCCGACAGGCCATTGCCGCCCCCAACGACAGGGGACTCCACTTCTCCTCTGTGCACAGGTACGTACCCCAGGCAGGGTGGTGGTTCATTTATGCCAGGAAGCGTGAGCGTGGGGTTGTAGCGTACTGAAGATTCCCTCCCCCCCCCCATGCTCATGCTTCAGGGCAGAAATCAACAGTTGACTCATAGGGATCAAGAAGAAAGTTTCCTCATGTGCAGGTTATGACGTAACCACCTGCTGCCACGATGCTGGTCATTGGGCTAGCTAGACCACAGTTCTGATCTAAGCAGTGACTGTCCCTGGAGTGCAACTGCCGGATACCCAGGACTTTTTCAGGTCCTAGGCTGGGAATTTGGTGGTAGCTTCATTGCCATTTAAATAGGGAACTTGTTTTGACATGAGTTACTGAGAAACTCACGTTGACCTCCTGACACGGCCTCCCCTGTGTGTTTGCACTGATATTAAATGCAATTCTGTTTACGCCACCAGCACACGGTTGGTTTTCTGTGCTGCCGGTTTGGAATGGCTGGTGCAGAACTTGCCCTCCTTGGGGCAAGCCCTGTGGTACAAATATACCACAAACAGCACCCACCACAACAGGGCCGCTGGGCCGCCAGGCCTTATGTCATATGAAAATCATTGCCCTACTGAAGTAGCAAGGAGGAAGCCGGAGGTTCCGACAGTGGGGAATGGGAGAGGTGGGGCTGGATAGGCATCAGCTGGTGAGGGGCTGGAGGCAGTTTGGGATTATGGAGCAATCTCATTCAAGATGGATGTTGTTGTTCGGAGTTTGCACCGTGCCTGGTTCAGTACGACTAGTGCTCTTACAAAGACTGAATAACAACCGTGATCAGTGGTGACACGGTTAACGGGGTTGATATCTAAATTACCCCCTTAGGTTTCAGAGTTAACCCACTGAAATGAATGGGGTGGTTCACCCCTTTCAGAGCAAGCGTGTCAGGTTCTCTGCAGACTCAGGGAAGATGGCGCGAAGGTGGCTTGTGCTCGGTTCTTCTTTTCACGGTTACTGTCACAACCGTTTGGGCTACAAGCAGACTGATGCCAACCAGGGAAGTTGACATGTCACAAGAGGCCCCGCTCTGCAGGGGATGTTCTGCAGGAGTGGGATGGCTGGGGGCGCGGGACACCAGCCAGCCCGTCCCTCTGCACTGGATGACGTGCACCTGCTCTTCTGGCCTCTTTGTTTTGCAGTTACACCGACACATGGGAGTGGATAGACTCTGTGCTACTGAGCTACCTCTACAGCAACCCCCGCCTGACCCTGGCTGGGGTACCTCGGCTCCGGCAGGAGCACTCTGCTGGGAACATACCTCTGGATCTGGGTGAGTTCTGGTAAAATCATGCCTCTCCATTTACCCCTGCTGGCTGGGAGAAGGGTCATTGGGGGAGGAGGTCTGTGGGCACAAAATGGCACCAGATAGAAAGAGTCTATGGCCCCATTTTAGTTAGACTGGAGTATAGACCTGAAAGGCAACATCATCCCCTATTTGACAAGTAGGGAAACTGATGCAGGGGAGGACTGTGACTTGCTCAAGGTCACGCAGCATTGCCAGTAGAATCCGAGAGGTCAGATTTCCAGTTCCTTGCTCTAGCCACTACAGACCGTCTCCTGGCTACTGATGTTTGTAACTGGCTTCTCTCCGCAGTGCCAGGGACTGAAGATGAACTGGTGTAAGACGGGGTCAGGGGAGAGTCTCAGCCACTTCCCCCGAGGCTGAGCATTGGTAGAGCAGGGGAAGGGCTGTGATCAAGGAGTCAGGGCTAACACCAGGCACCTGAAGGGTGGCACATGGAGGAATGGAAAGGCAGAGGCGAGGGGAAAGCAGGCACTGAGGAGGCAAAGTTGCCAGGTGGTAACACATCCAGGCAGTGAAACACAGGGCAGGGCGGGAGCTTCCTGAGCCAAGGGAGGCTGAGCATGCTGCGAAGGAAGCACATGCAGCCCCTGCAGAAGCGGATGGGGCATGGTGGGGAAGCCCTGCTCTGGAGCCTCCCATGGACCTTCCTGGGAGTTTGGTCTGAGGAAGGAACGCAGGCTCTGGCCCCCTTGGGATGCTTTGGTGCAAGCCCTGCAGGCCAGCAAGGGAGGGCAAAGATGGGGCTGATGGGGAACCCTGCACAGACGAGGAACCGGGGCTGGGAGGAGGAGGCGTTAGAGCCAAGAACTGGAAAGGAAACAACAGAAGAGAGAGAGCGAGAGAGAGAGAGAGAGCACAGCCCAGATGCAGAGAGGAAACTGAGGCAACCTGGATCTGGAGAGCACAATAAAGAGTGTAGTTTCTGAATTGACATCTAGTTAATATGCAACTCAAAATTTAATCCTGCCCCCGTTTTTCTGCCCCTTCACTGCTCTCCCACCCCGGGCTTTGGTCTCTCTTGACCCATCACATCACTAACAGAACCCGTCCCCCCTGCCATGTTTCAGTGCCCAGAGCCGAGGTTCCCAGGAGTGGCCAAGTGGACAGAGATGCATGCTCTGATGCCAGCCCCCAGAATGCATCCCATGACTCTATCGGGTAAGAAGCAGAGTTCCCTTTCATAGTGTCCATCCATGTGCAGAATAAATTTTGTTCTGTGCCCCAAGGCATGTGCACCACCAGAAGAAACACATGGTACCAGCTATTGGCGCTCTGCTAATAAGCTGGGCGGCATTTGAATCTCTCCCGGGTGGCCGCCCAAGTGCTCAGCTTAAAGGGAACGCTGGTAAGAATGCTGGCCCAGGGGGCACTAACTGGCAGCCGAGAGCAGGAATTGGGCAGTTAAGCAGCCAAGATTCTTGGCGATGGATTTCCCTGAGTGTTAGCTGAGAATCAGCAGTAATGCTCCCTTTGTTTCGATAGCTGAATCTTAGACCCGCAGGACGGAAAGGGACCCTGATAGTCATCTAGTCCAGTCCACTGCACTGAGGCAGGACTAAATATTTGGAAGGATCCCAAAGCATTTCACAAACTATGGACCTGATCTTGCAAGCTGCTGGGCACCTGTAGCTCCCATCAACTTCAGTGGGCAGTGAGCATGTTCAGTAACACCCAGGAGGCACCCAGCAGCTTGCAGAATCAGACCCAAGACCGGACAGACATCAACACATGGGAGACGCTAGAACACGGCAACTGTCACAGCCCACAGCACCTGCTAACCAACAGCACAGCCAGAGAAGCCACGGAGACGACCACACCCAGCTGGAAATACAGCTCAAATCCAGGGGGCATCCCAGGCTGGAATTTGGCCAGGACACGAGGACTAAAGATCTCCTCTCACTGACCATGCCATGCCATCTGTAATGACAAGTGGCCATGAATTTCAGTTTCAAAGTACAGCCCTAAAGCCGCCTAGCTAGGCCCATGCAGAAGCCCTGGGTCATGACAGACTCAGATAACAGAGCCACATCCTGAATCCCTAACTCTGTCTGCAGCATCCTGGGGTTTCCCAGGACGTATCCCATCTAACTAGGGGCTGACCCATCCCATAGTTCTAGTGTAGGATCTGACCAGGCCCCACCCCAGTTAGGGCTCTAAATCCAGCCGCTCTGCCTGCTGCATCTCTCAGCTACATTTTCTGGTCTCCCCATCTGCATTTCTTCGGGCAGGTTTTGGGTCTGGGGGCATGTGGGAGTTTACCCCAGTAACACTGGCTGCTGGAGGGAGCTTGGCAACAGCTCCGCCCAAGCCCGAAGGACACTGGCTGACCTGCGAGCCAGCAATTGGATCGACAAAAGGCAAGTCAGTTGCAGCCTCCCCTTTTCCCTTGAGACCTGGGCTGAGAAGTGGAAACTGCCGTGGATGCAGGGTGGCTGTCAGTGTTCCCCTGCAGTAGGGAGGGTTATTTCAGGGATGGTTCTCCCCTGCAGAGCTCTGCCCGTCCTCAGTCTGCACGATGATGTCAGTCGTTCCCTCCTGTCATGTGGCCTTTGTCCCACTCCCCCAGTCCCTTGCTCTGACGAGGAGCAGAGCGACCCCCCGCCACAGCCCTGCACAGTGCTGGGCCCAAACTGTGGAGCCACCGCCCAGCTGCTCAGGCCAGGGAGCAGCAGGGCTGGCAATGGAACTCAAGCCAACCAGGGGGTGGGGTCATGTTGCCAGCAGTGGCCACTTGAAGCAAACTTGAGGAAGGGGGACCTCCCGATAGGGAAATTAGGGTTTGTGCAGACAAAATGCACTGTTATTTCCACTGCCTCTGGGACTCCTTGAGACCCATTAACTCTGCAGCTGCCTCCCATGCGATACAGCCGGTCCCCGACTTACGAACGAGTTACGTACCAAACACTAGGTTGTAACTCGATCTGTTCGGAAGTCGGATTACATTCGCTTATGTACGGCCGCGCTGTTCCTAAGTGTGGATTTCATTCGTAACTCGGGCTCCGGCTGTATAGGAGGTTGGTCGGAAATACGAACGGTCGTAAGTCGATGCGTTCATCACTCGGGGACCAACTGTATATGCACCACTGGCTGGGGCCAGTCGCTTTCCCAGCATCATTCTGGGGGTCTCTTACTCTGAGTCTGGCTGTCCCGGGAGCTCCAAGGCAGCACGGCTGAGACCCTGGTTTGGGGCAGGAATTGAGGCCTCTCTGCATCATATCTCTGAGCTCACCCACAGAAATGGTGCAGCTCACGCTAGTACACCTGAATGGCATGAGAGAGGCTGAATAAATGCAGATAATGGAGGCACTGGGAGTTTCAGAGGTAACCACCCCGAGACAGGAGCGGCAGCTCCGGCAGCAGCAAGGCCATGCTGAAGAGAAGCAGGGAGATCTGAAAGAAGCCAGAGAAGGGGACAACCCCAACCAGGGCTGGTGTCTTGCCCCAGTTGTGAATAGCAGCTACTGCACTGCATGTACGTAGCCCAGCGCTGTGGCTGTCACCAGCTGAATTTGACGGCTAGTGACCTGCTAGGGGCATCCCAGCCTAATCCCTGGAAGTGAAAGTCAAAACAGTGTTTCCCAGCAAGCCAACTGAAATGTCCCTGTCTGGAGGGCTGAGAATCAGGCCCAATTACCCAGCATTCCAGAGCCCTGGACAGTAATTCATCTCAGCCTCCTGCTCTCCGCTCTCTCCCTGCATGACAGGAGCAGAGCCGTGTTTCTGGAGTTTACCCAATACAATGCTGATGTCAACCTGTACGTGACTGTAGTGCTGCTGCTCGAGTTCCCGGCAGTCAGACCAGCTGTTCCGTCTAGCCTCATCCTCCCCTACCGAATGCTGCGCTTCGGCACCGGGCTGGACCTTCCCCTTGCCTTAGTGGTACGTACTCTGTGTTGTGAGATACATCCAAGCCTCAGGGCTGGTTCCTCGCCAAATGGAGCTGAGATTTAACCCACCCCGGGGGGCAAGCTCTCCAGGATGGGGCTACTTATGCATTCTCAGCAGGAGCCGTTTGCTGGATGATCTCACAGGTAACTGTAGGGAA